TTTAGCCTGAAAACATCGACGTTCCAGGGTTAAATATTTTTTATGTTCACCAATTAAGTACTCAACTACTCTTCAGGGTTACCTTATCAAGATTCAACTACCGCGCGAGTACTTTATCAATAATCTGCGGCAAAGAGCACGGAGGTTTTTAATAATAGAGTAAATACCAGAATTTACCAACGCAATGTGGGTAATATCCGCAATTTATTGCAGTACAGAGCCAAGAGGAAAAACAAATACAACAAACTGATGGCAAATAAAAAAAGGAAGCGATTCGGAAGAAGCAAAAATAAAATGGGACTTGCTTAAATTGTGAAAAGCCATTAAACGCAGCTGGGGCCAGAAATACAGAACCGCAATTATCATGAACGCAATTTCCAAATGGGCAGAACGCCCGGCGTGACAACATCCCCAGCTAGGGACCAACACGACCGGGGCAAACACTTTGACGCAAAACTTGTATCGTTAAATATTTATAAGCGAGCTGCAGAGGAAAACAAAATTAGATATGAGGTTTCCAGCCGGAGCAGAGCATCCAAGTCCAGGGCAGCCCCAACGATGCTGTATATCAACACATCATAATCCCCCCAAGCTAGCAGGCAGCTTAAAAAACCTAAAACCTAAAACCTAAAACCTGACTAATATGGCTTTAATGAGCTGGTCAACAATCTGACAGCCACTTTGGTGGTCCGCACTGCGAATGCGTTGGGCCGAGGTAGGGCTCACCCCGCCAGGAATTCCATGTACTACGTGACAGCAATAGCCGCAGCACCAAAAAGGGTTAACCCTCACGGCAGCAGCAGCTAACCATTCGAAACCTAATCCTTGTTTCGCCTGACTAACGACTTCTGCGGCAGTTGTTTGCTTTGACACAGAGGAAGAGCCAGAGACAGTGTTGGTCCATGCAAAACTGGATTTGGCTTTCCTCAAGCCTATTTTCCTTTGGATCCATCAGATTTCACCTAACAAGGAGCCACGCGCTAGAGCCAAGAGCTGCCTCTTTCTCTACTTTTGGTCTCTGTCCGTGAGAGTCAAAGAATACCGCACTAGCCCTAATCTGATCCTATTCCTTATTCCCATTGCTAAGTATTTGCCAACAATTTATCACCTTTGGGATTCCAAACCTTGTTTCGTCTGACTGACGAAAAGGAAGGGAAAGGTTGGTGGGACTGTTCAGCTCTATGCTAAGATTTTACTTTCCTTAAGCTTATTTTCTTTTGGATACATCCGATTTCTACTACTCCTCTTTCTCTACTTTGGTCATCACAATGAATCAATAATTGTCCTTGAGAGTCGAGGACTAGCGCATTAGCCTAACCTTATTCCTTATGCTTTCCTTAAAGATATTTTCTTTTGGATCTATCTGATTTCTATAGGCGCCAATGACTACAGCTAAGAGCTGCCATTGCTCTCTTTTGCCCTTTTGGGACATCTGCGGCAACACAATGGATCAATAGTTGTCCATGTGAGCCGAGAAGGACCGCACTAACCTAACCCAAGCTAAACCTATTCCTTATTGCAATCGCTAAGTATTTGCGAACAATTTATCACCTTTGGGTTTCAATTTAACTGCAATTTCGTATTCAAATCCTTTTATAAAACACTTTTTTTTGTTGCAAAACTGCAAACGCAGCGAATCCTTTCAGGAGCTGAACCATTGTCCAACTCTGATCCCGATTGCTATGTTTTCCCCTTCCCATTTCTCGCTCTGGATTTATGGCGCCCGAGCAGGAACAGGGGACCCAGCCGCTGCAGAGGGGGCAGCAACAAGCACTACAATAGTTTAATTAACATTAACGCTGACGCCGACTACTGATGGCAATAAAAAACCATTAAAAGGAATTTATTTTAAGGACCGGCCCGGCTATAAATCACATTACACGCCGCTATAAAAACAAAGGCAACAGAAATCTAACATGGGGCGGCGGCGCCCGTTAAAAGCTCTGCTTCTGGGCAGGTGCCTGTTCTGGCTGCCTGGGGGCGTGGCAGTGGGCATGCTCGCCTCTTTTTATATTTCGTGAATAAGAATGTTTTGTATATCGAAAAAATCAATGTGCATCCCTGGCGCGCATGGGCATCAAAGGGCTGCACAGCTCTCGGCAGAGTGGGAATACAAAGTAGTAAAAAAATTTGTTTGTTATATGCATAGTTTGTTGCCATTTGCGGGGGCCGTGGGCGGGGGTGTGATAAAACATCAACGCGTTGCGTTAAAAGCGCTGGCATTAAAAATTACGACAAACAGTTAATGGGAATACCGGTTGCCCGGACCCGGACCCGCGCCCGGTAGAGCTACGTGCGTGTACGACCAACAGTTGCCTATCAATATGTGCGAGGTGGAAGGGTGCAAGGGTATATACAAAGTAGCATTAAAACAGTTCAAATCATTTTGCACATATACCATAATTTATTCGCCAGTGAAAAGGCTAGCACTCTCTCTCTCCCTCCCGTTTTGTTGTTCTGCTTTGTGCTACGTCCGCTAACGTTTTGCTGCCTGCAGCATACCAGACTCTTTGTCGATTAGCTACTTATACAAAGTAGCATTAAAACAGTCACTTGTTCAAATCATTTTGCACATATACCATAATTTATTTTCCAGCACTCTCTTGTGTGAGTTTTTTGTTGTTCTTCTTTGTGCTGCGTCCGCAAACGTTCTGCCAGCTGCAGCAGATTAAGGAATAACATTTAATTTCAGGCGAACGTTTGCTCCCTGTCAGCTGCCCAGTGTATTCAGCATCCGTTCAGTATATCACAATGTGGTCGGGGCGTTTCCCTAGCACAGGATATATGAAACAATACAACCATAAAATTGACTGGCAGAAGGAAACACATTGATTTGCCATTTGAGCGCAAATTCACGGCAATAAAATCAGCGTTGGCTAAAGTTTTTTTTTTTTAATGCCACTTTCAATATTTGTTTTAGCACTCACACACACTGAGGGAACTTCCCCTGCTTTTCCCACTCTAAGTTGTGGTTGTTTTCCGCCCTGATCCATATCCCATTCCGAGGGCAATTGTAAAACGCGTTGTGTAATCGAAACTTTTAACGATTTGATGCTATTCGAAATTGTGTAATATTGAGGCACTAATACTCAACCAAATGGAGATCGAGTGCCCCCACACACACGTCTGCATATGTGGACTGTGTTTGCGTCTCTCTGTGTGTATGTGCGTGTTTGTGTGTGCAAATAAATAGCAGTGTGTATATCCCCATTGAGGGTCCTTCAGATACATTTAACAGCGCTAAAGTTGCGCTACTCTCGATATCGTCGGGCATATCGGTTGAGTGCGCAATTCAGCTGCCAATTAAAACTAACTTCGATATATCTGAAGAGACTAAAGAGTTCCTTAGTTGTTGTAGAATGAGAAGAAGCAGACAACTATATTTTTCTATCTATACCTTAAAAAAAGTAGAAGAAAAAACCTGCCTATGAAATATATAATTACGATCTTAACTGTTTTTTGTTCGACTTAAAGTTAGAATAGAAATTTCAAGTTCGAACCGGCTTGCAGCCTTGATATATATATTATGTATATAATATAAATAATATATCAATATTATTTATCTAGAACAAAGATTGAAAGCCACCTATTTATTTAAGATCTGGCAACGCTCTAGGCATGTTGAGCGGCTCTTCAAATTCGTTGCTGTCCAACTGAAAGAACTTGAAATTGCCTTAGAGCTGCGAAAAAACCAATCCATGTAATTCGACGACAAAGATGTGCTAATAAATTTCAACTTAATTTCCGAAATGTGCATCTAACACATAAAAAGCTGAACACAAACACGAGCTGGCACTGCCCCCCAGACCCACATCCACATCCACGTCCACATTCAGACTCAATCTCAGGCACACAGCAGCCTGTTCCGGAAATGAACAAGAGCGGGATTGAAATTTAGAAGCAATGAAAAAAACCAGGGAGGGGGAGGGGAGGGGGCGTGTCAGATTGAGTTGCCATGCGGCGTATTGTTCTTTGAGCGATCCAAGGATGGGCAAAGCAGGCGCAAAGTTTCAAGTATGGTTTTTGCATAAAACTTCAATTTAAATTGACATTTGAGTGGAAAGTAATTGCATGATATGCACAGAGAGAGAGAGAGAGAGCGGGAGGACATAAAAAAGGCAGCACCATCGACGAGCTGTTACTTATGGCCCTGGGTACGGGGTTCTGGGTTCGACGGCGGAACTGGAACTGGAACTGGGCGAGTTCAGAGCTGGGCGTGTTTAATATATGAGCGCAATGTTTGCAGCTACTATTTTTAGGCATTTAATGCGATTTTCCACTCTCTCTCGCTCTCCCTCTCTCTCTCTCTCACTCTGCTTAGTTTCGCTTCTGTCCGCTGCCAGCCATCCATCTGAAGCATTGCGGAAGGCTCTACTGAGCTCATTATGCGCTCGTTTATATGCCGAATTTGTTGTTGTGGTTCTTCCTTTTGTTCTTGCTCCCCTTCTTGCTCTTGTTTTTGTTGCTGTTGCTGTAAGCTTGTGCACATTATGGGGGTCTGGGTTTGGTTTTTTTTTTTGTCAAGTACCGTTTTGGAGTGCGGGGTATATTTGAGCTGAATGCGGGCAATGCTTTGTTTCTCTCTCGCTCTGTCCGTCCCCCTCTCTGCACAAATTAAATGCCAATAAATTTGCATTTTTTTTTGTTAGTCGTAGATTTTGTGCAAAAGTGTCATTTTATTTTTGGTGCGGAATCTTCCAATTGGTTTTTCTGGTTTTCGCGCAAGTTTTTCAATCGAATTGGCCAAGTTTTAATGTTGCCAATAAACGTTGTTAATTTGTTTTCCTATCAAGCACTTTCATTTATTTATTCATTCATTTCCTGTCCAATGGCATCGACTTTGCCCTATGTCGGCATTTTTCTGGAATTCCTATTCAGATTACAATTTTTAGCTGAGTTTTTCTATTGCTTGTTTGACGGCTAATGACTATTCAAATATCTTATCAGGCAATTCCATTTCAGTTTCCGATTGTAAAAGATTAAGTAATTCTTTGAACCAGTCACTTTTAAGAGCTGTTTATTATTCCTTCATATGTTGTCTAAGATCCAAAAAAAGAAGATACCCTGTAAATTTATGTATGAGTGCATATTTGTTCTTTAATTCCAAGCTTTTCTTCCCACTGCGCAACAAATCAAAAGAAAACCGTATTTTAAGTTGTCGCTCTACTATGCGATTCTCATGAATTTAAGTAACTAGAAGCTTTCATGCTTTTATAGTGAGTGTTAGCTCACGCTAATATCATCTCTCTCTCTCTCTCTCTCTCTCTCTCTCTCTCTCTCTCTCTATCTCTCTATCTCTATCCTTTACTTTCTGAATGTTTCTTTCCTTCTCTCTATTTCTGAATTTATATCTCCCTCATTCTTTCCCTATCTCTTTTTATTTACCAATCTCTCGTTTTTCTCGTGCTTCTTCTACTCTTACTCTAATCCGCTCTCAACTTGCCTTTTTCTTTCAGTTTCAAACGTCCAACTAAAAAATTGCATTAAAATAATCGTGATTGAATATTGGGTAAGTACACATATGCATCTAAATATATGTATATGCATGTATATATAAATATTAGGCTAACGTAATTTAGGGTTGAGTTAGCTCCTCGTATTATTGTATTCACAAACGCTTTAGATTAATAAAAGGACCGTCTCTGGCACCTGCCCTACCCATCCGAATCCCCAGATTTGCGCTCATCGTATCCGTCCAGGGAGTACAGCTTGCCGAGATGCGGCAAAGCCGGAACATCCTCAATGTGCGGCGTCGAGCTGCGACGCAGCATCATCTGCTGCAGCTGGGCAACATGGCACGGCTCCAGTTGCTCCATGCAGCCGTAGTAGAGTACGTCTGAGATGAGCTTGCGGGCTAGAAGCTTCTGCCGGGGCGCCAGCTCGTCAAATTGGCTGCGCCAAGTGTGGGCCAGAGCTTCCGATGCGCAGAATGTGGAAAAACGCTGGCGCTGCTGTCTGCAAGGCAGGGTAAGGGGAGAAGCGGGCGAGTGCAAGCCGGAACGTAATTCGGCAGGTGCGGGAGATGCAGTTAACTCTTCCTTGACTGCCGTGCGGCGCTTCTTACGACGCGGCTCGTCGTAAGCGGTGTGGCGCTACGGTTAAGGAAATGAGTGTAAGAGAGAGGGCGAAAGAGAAAAAAAGAAAAAGCTACAAGAGCTTAATTACCAAAGCTTCGGGCAGAGCTTCTGGCTCTGGACTGCTAGCCTTGTGCAAGCTCTGGCATGAGCTGGCATCCTCTTGTCCCTCTAAGAAGCCTAGCAGCTCAAAGTACCACAGAGTCGACACGAATGGCTCCTCCTCGGTGCACTGATCACGTTTGCGCAAGTCCCGCCGAAAGTTTGTACGGAACGAATTGATTTTCTTGACCACCAGAGCGCGATCAGCGTACGGCTCCACCTCGCGCAGCTTCTGCACCAGCTGCTCGTAGCCGGCGGACTTCAAGGCCCGGCTGCTGTACTCCGGACTCTTGACCTTCCATACCGCCGGCAAGGATCGATAGAGCTCCAGGAATTCCGTCCAGAACTGTCTATCGCGAGAGTTCATGCTCAATTTGCAGCCGGATCTTGCTTAGGATTGGATTTAAAAAACGCCAGACCAGTCCAACGTCCACAGCTCGAACTCGCGCGCAGCACTGAATACTCAAAAATGTGGGCTGTGCTGAGCACAAGCTTGCATGCGCAAAATTCAAAATGTGGCGAGCAGCAGCAGCAACATGCCTAATGAGTGTGCGAGCGAGATGGTGACAGAGAGAGTGGCCAACAACAACAACAACAACAACAACAATATTCAACGATGCTCGGCAACGTTTGTTGTTTGTGCAAACGTTAACGCTGTGCGTTTTGTGCTGTCATTCGCAGTGCTTATTTGATTGCGCTAAACGTAAAATGAAGGCGAATTCGTATGCAGATGTATGCGAGAATCGACAGCTGACTTGCTTTGCAGCTAGGAAAAGATTTGTGCCAAGAGAGAGAGAGTGAGAGAGAGCGAACGCAAAACGGTTTTTTATTTTTTTTGTAATTCCTGATCGATTCTCTTCGTTAACATTATTTACATACATGCATGCATGCATATGCATGTATGCGGGTGAACTATCGATGCGACGAAAATATCGAAAATATCGATAGCACGCTCTTCAGTCAGAGAGATATGTAGACAGATAGAGAGAGAGAGAGAGAGCGAACTAACTACCGATAGACTATCGAAAAAATCGATAGCATGGTTTTCGGTTCAATCAGCAACTATCGATAGAAGCTCCCTGAACCAGCTGCGGCCCACAGAAAGTAAACTCTTTGAAAACAATAAGAAATGTGTTCTGACTAATTCAATTTTCGAACTGGAAACAAACTTTGGTCAATGTCCGGCGAAGCTAAAAAGGTTAAATTTCAATAAGGCAGCTATCCCTCTCTCCTTCGGCTCTCGTTGCTGCCAGAAGCCAGCTGAAGTTCCAAACTGTTTGCCCAGTGCAAACAGGCGATGCTTCAAATATTGCAATTCTTTTTGTTTTTGTTTTTGTTATATATTTTTTTGGTTTTCTATTTTATTTTGGCCCTTCATAAAGTAATTTAAATAACTTTATTTACATGCCAAATGCCAAATATTTGCCGGGATACAAATATTGATGCCGCGAGGACATTTTAACATGGCAGCAAACAGACAAACAAACGGATCTGAAGGACCTGCTGGATAAAGACATTATGCACTTGTTTCAATTATGCGTAGGAAATAAGAAAGGAGCCCCGGACTGGGCCATGGGAGGCCAACTGGAAACGGAATTGAAGTGAAACTAAAGCCTTTTGCAAATAGTTGTTAAAATATGTCAATAACCTTCCTCCCTCCCTGCCCATAGCCCACATCACAGAGTCGAACTTGTCCTGGAGCAGCCAGCGGGGCTTGGCATCAATGGCCAAAAGCCAACCCTCCGATTCTTTGGAACACTTCTGACTGTGTGCGCGGGATGGTGGAGGGGGCTAACTTAGTTGGCCAGAGACAGAGGCAAGTGGGCGGAACTGTGGACAGTACCAGGACGGGCACTTGGAGCCCCGGGTGAATGTATACACGAATAAGCGCAGAAAATGTTTAATTAAATTCCAGGACACATTTGGCATGTTACATTGCTTTGGTTGCTCGAACCACAGCCCGCATTTGAGTGGGTCCGCAAGAAGGATGCGAACCTTCTGCTTATCCTTGTCGCACCGAACTAACTAACAGAAATTGTAATAAAAATACCGAAACGTAGCAAAAACTAAGCAAAGCAAATTATGCTCCCTTCCTCTCCAGAGTTCTCTCTCCCTCTTCTCTCTCTCCTGGCCTTTGGTTAAACTATTGACATTCAGCTGCGGTTCCTTGGATAAGAAATTGGCACTGGCCCTGGCCCTGGCCCTGGCATCAAGGCATCAAGGGTTGGTTCCGCCAATACCTTGTCCCAATTCACAGTTAACTTTCCGACATGCTTTTAACAAATGCAAGGCGGACAAGAAGAGAAGATTAATTTAAGATAGCTGCGATGTGGAACAGGATAGCAGGAGAACAAGCAACTAGACTACTAATAGGTTGAATTACTTAAGACCGTTCTTAGCCGTATTCCACCATTCTCCCGACAACAATTTTTCACTGCTACGCGTGGAATTCTCCCAAATCACGTGGCATATATTGTAAATTCTTGCAGATATAATTGCTTCACTAATATAAACTGGCACAAAGAAAATCTTCAAGACAATTCACTGGGATTAAAAAACAAGAATAATAATGAGCAAATCAGTTAGTTAACAGCAAACCGCACAAAGCCCGACACTACTGACGGATTGCCTAAACAGAAGAGGAAGAAGCTTGAGTTTCCTATTGCCTGGAGGAGCGAGCCAAAGTATCTAATCAAATAAGCCGGCAAATTGCGCTCTGCTCGTTTCTAACTCAGCTGACAATAAGCCGGAGCTGTACTCGTAAAAAGTTATGACCATACGAAAATTTCAGTACTATTTTTTTCTTTTAGTTGTTTTTTATGTACCGCCATTTGTAAATCTGAAAGACGGCATCTGTATAATGTGATGGCCTTTTAGAGGCCAAGTCGGGCATTTAGGCAACGGTTTTTATGAGTATATGGTCGACTCGGCCCGGCTTGACTCGACTCGACCGACTCGGTGTCTGTTAATGATTGATAAACCGCACGGGACCAATCAACACCCAAAGACCAAACCCAGCTCCATTGTCAGCTGCGTTTTAGGAAAAAGGGGGCTTCCTAAACATGGCTCCAGCTTCTTCGAGATGCACATCAAATTGGCTACATTGTCGTGAGCTTAAGGCTGAGGCTGCAGTCGAGGGACTGTGGCAGTTGCTATAAGTACGACTAGTTGGTATACCAGTTTCTTTATTACAAAAAGGAGCTTGGGTCAAAACCACAACACCAACAACAACGACGACGACGAAATCGCAGCCAGCAGCGACGTCGTAAAAGAAAACAATATTGTAAATAAAGTTTAGACCTGAAGCCCAAACTGGTTTCGAGCAAACGAAAACAACAAACCAACCCAACAACCCAACAACCCAACAACCAACCAAACGACCAAACAACCAAACGTCTGACCGACCAACCCAACATCGTGACTGCGCGACTGTCGTTGTTGTTGTTGTCGTTGTTGTTGTTGTTGTTGTTGTTATTGTTGTTGTCGTTGTTGACGTTTTGGTCTTTGATGACTTTTTAACCAAAGTTGTTGCCTGTTGCCCGTTGTTGCTGTCGATTTTTATTTTATTTTTTTTATTAAAAAAAAAAAAACTCTTCTTATTTAATACCCTGTATTTAAACGAATATGTGAGTGCTAATTTTATAGCCATATTGCTGTCAAAATAACATGTCAAGCACCTCGGAGATATTACGAGTTGCATCTTAACTCAAGGAACTCAAAGACCTTTGGAGCTAGGCTTATTTTATTTGGTATTTATAATTTCCAGTTTGGTAAACTAATCTTAACTCAAAGAACTAAAAAACCATAATGGCTAGACTCATCAAATTTGGTATATGTGCTCTTCAAATAATTAAGCTAAATAAATTCTTGAAATGCATCAATAGATTTGCCTTTATAGGAATAACCTCTTAACTCAAGGAACTCAAAGACCACAAGATCTACGCCCAGTAAATGTTGTATATGAACTCTACGCATAATTTCTAAATAATTTCCTGAATTTAGCCATATTTTTCCTTCTATTGAAGAAACCCAAGGAACTCTAAAAACCTGAAAATCGCAATCAGTAAATTTGTTTTGTAGTTTTTTATAGAAACTGGGTATCTTCTAGTCGTATATGTATGAGCTGTAATGCTTTGCTTTTATTTTTGTTTTGGTTTTATTTTTATTTTATTTGGCTTTTCTTTTTTTTTTTTTGTATATTTTTGTTACCATAAAAGCAGTTAAACCACAAACCACATCCATTGCCGTAAAACTTCTTGTTCGTAAACAACAGCGCTTGGACTTTGGGACAGACGCTTTGTTGTTTGGCTGGCCCAACCACTTCGGTTGTCTTGGCCCAAACACCATAAACATGAAACGAATCTAAGTCAAGAAACAGGTCTCAGACCATGGCTTAGACTTTATCTCAGTCTGAGCCAAGAACTAACCTAGGTCTAGCAACTAGTTTGACAACACGTTCTTCTTGTTGTTGTTTCCTTCTTTTTTTTGGTCTTTAATATATTTTTTATGCACATGCTTATGGCTCTTAAGATAAAAACTATTATGATTGGTGAAACGTGCAAAAAAAAAAATAAAAATAACAATCTTGACAGCTCCACGAATGGAGCAGACCAAGTACATTTGCACTCCAGCACACGACCAACCCGCGTCCGTCCGTCTGTCCGACGGTCCGACTGTCCGTCTGTCTGACCGAGACGTGAAATTTATGCCTTGGCATAATTAACTCCAAACATGATCTCATAAATTCATCTCGCGTTCGTATTCGGCTGTTGTTTACTCTGGGCTAAGCTCGGATCTGGCACAGCTGAGTCTACTCCAGTTCTGGGAGTCTCAGAGTAGCTCCGGCTGGTCCAGTTCTCTATTTCCTGCTCCTCATATGCGTTATCTATTAGACATGCCTTAGATATATCTATATTATATATCTTTAAAGGAAGTGCACATAGAAATCTGAAAACAATTCTGTAAATCTATCTCTATCTTTAAATTAATCAAAAATTAAGAAAAATTCCAAATAAAGCCAGGCAGAGTGGAAATAATTATGTAATCAGCTAAATAGGCCCTTGCTTTTATTTATTCAACTCGCTTTTGGTACTTTCTGTTAATATGGAGAACAAATTGGAAGTGCTCACGAAGCGTTAAAAGTCGAGAAAAAAGTGAAGGGGAAGTATAAACCGGGACTTCCTGAACTTTAGCCGATTGACACACACATAAACACATAAATAAAGATCGAGAGTGGAGGAGGAAGGTTGGCCATGCCCATGGCTATGGCTGGTTAAAAATCTATATAGAGAAATCATTGAACGGATTCGACAGCTAAACAAAAAGCATTGTAAAATTTATTGCACTTTTCCGCTGACGGTCTGCCGCACAATCCTTTGTCATGCCCAGAGACCCAGACCCCAAAAAAAAAAAAAAAAGAAATATATATAAAAATAAAATCGAGAAAGAAAAAGCAAGAGAAAAACCGGCCCCCGACGCTGACCCAAGCCGTAGGCCCAGACCCAGAGCCGGAGCACAATGAAAACTCTTTCGAATCGCTCGGCGGCGAAAACAAAACGAAAACCTGAAAT